ATATATTTGAATGCATACCGCGACCTCTGTCTGTTGCAAATGTAGGTATATATTTGAATGCATACCCCGACCTCACAGGCAACCTCTGTCTGTAGCAAAGGAAGCAATGTATTGTAGCTCGACTGCCTCGTGTATGCATTCTGTCCCCAAATGATAACATAGATGCCAATAAGAGACTGGTAACAGATTTATAGACATCAGTCTGTCTTCATATGATTCTGTACACATGAATGGCAGCTTATAAGGATGAATTTTGAAGCTCGGCGTTGAAGGTGCTCTGTCACTCTGAAGCAAGCCAGCATCCGAGATGGAGTCAATGCACTTAAATACTTTAGTATCATCTGCGAAAGATGAAACTTTGCAGTTCTTTACTGCATCTGGAAGGTCGTTCACGTAGAAGAGGAAAAGTAGGGCCTAATATAGAACACAGTGGCACTCCTGACAATACAGGTTTTTCAGGAAAGGTGGCGCCTAGCAGATCCTCAACCAACAATTGAAGCAAGCTACCAGAAATGTTGAAGCAGTTGTTTAGCTTATTAAGTAGTCGAGTTTCATTATTTACTTTATCGAAGGCTTTTGACATGTCCATATATAAAACATCTGTTTGCATCCAGCAAGGACCTAATGTAATCGTCTACTGCTAATAGTTCGGTTGTACATATATTCCCGGGATGAAGCCGTGTTGAAAACAGTTGATCAAATCTAGTAAGTGATCTCTTGCATTTGCAAGCACACACCGTTCTAGGACTTTAGATATAAGGCTGAGGAGTGAGATGCATGGTCTATAATTCTCAACATAACGTTTATTCCCCCTTTTTATGCACAGGCACCATGTTCGCACGCTTCCAGTCGTCAGGAAAAACGCCACAGCTGAGTGATCTATTAAAAAGCTCGGTCAGTGATGGTGCAATCTGTTGTGCAGTCTCTTTGGGTGTGGCCTTGTCGGGGTCGAGAGCTACAGGTAGAAGTTTATTTAGAACTTCCTCGGTTGTTAAGGAAATATCAGAAAGAGCGTGGTCTGGAGTTAGAGACGTAAGAAGTGGCGAGGACAGATGCTCTTCCAATTCAGTGCGGTTGAAGACAGACGCAAAGTAGTCATTAATTAAAAATTTGTGAGATAGTAGGAGGGGTGGATGCGGAGCGAATTTGGGACTGAGCACTGTACCCATCATCCTTTCCAAATGACATGGTTTCAGGAATTCTAGACTTTTTGCTGCTAAGTTTAAATGTCGACCAGAATCTATTTGGGTTTGACAGAAAGTTATCTTCAAGGGAGTCAAAGAAATTTGCTCGGCTAATACTGATCATCTTTTTAAGGTTGGTTCGCATTTCTTTGAATTTGACTTTCAGCGCGCGTCAGTTGGAGATGACCTCAGGTTTCTGTATTGCGTGGATAATGTCACCATCTATCCACGGAGGTGAGTTCCGGCCTTTGATCTTTTTAGTCACTATATAGTCCTTAACTATACGTTCAGAAAAGTATCTTATAAATAGAAGTGACACTTAGTTTTAGTACACGTTTATTTCTCAAATGTTCCATTTCAGCTGCTACACGAGGATTGACAGCTATTTTATCTTCACATAGGTCAGTGATAAATAAACCTTTAATTGCTGTTACCCTGCTCAAACCAACATAATGTATATGTGGTATTGATCTTCTTCAAAATGCCTGGCACATGTCACAGGATCGCTTTGAATTAACCTACTTTTCTCTTCCCAATTGAGGTTCTCAAGTTCAGCGTCTGTGTATGTTTTACTATCAACAAGACGCTCTGCGGAGCGTTAACTCGCTGGGGCTATACAAATACGCACATTACTGTACATGATCACACATGATACAGTACATACAGTACACAGCTATTTCAATTAAGATTTTAGGTTTTACTCCAGCTAGGCGGAAAAGTCGAAAACGAGCGCGAAAGGTTTAACACAGTACTAAAATGCGGTAGGGCCTACCCTACAAGTAAAGTCATAGTAAAGTTATATTTAGTACGCTACATCCTTCAAGACTGTCAGCCGCCAGTTGGTCCGGACGCTAGAATTAAACTGTGCTTTAAAATGTTCAAAATAAACTATTTTGGGGCTAAAATACATGTACTATCAAAATGAAGAGAGAAGTGAGATGAATCCACTGGTATACGGCCGAAAAAGAGAAAACCAATGATACCAAAGTTATCAAGGATCAAACGTACTGCATTTTTTTATAATTAGTTATAATAATTTTGAGCAATTTGTCAACAATACAATTTCGCTTGATTTTCAAAGACAAATTGCTAGAATACTGTTATTTAGTAATACATTTGACATCCGTAATTTCTAACGCTGAATCGAACAGTGGTATTTTTATTACACAAAACACTATGAAACGTACTGCAAGTGATGTGTCATGCAACAATACATACTGCGAGCGAATTGTCAACAACACAATTTGACCAATTTCACTTGATTTTCAAAGGCCATAAATCGCTAGAATACTGCTGTTTAGTAATACATTTGACATCCATGAGTACAATTTCATACGTTGAATCGAACAGTAAAAGGACAAACGTAGCGCGAGCATTTGTCAACAATATAATTTTGCTTGATTTTCAAAGGCCTTAAATCGCTAGAATACTGGTGTTTAGTAATACACATGACATCCGTAAGTACAATTTCTTACGCTGAATCGAACGGTGTCGCTTTCTTCTCAAAATATAAAGCAGCATAGCCAAACAGCAAACATGGCTATCAACGACGATCGGAAATCTGACATCCACCATGCGTGCCGAAACCTATACTCGTCTGGGGCACAGTGCCACAGCAAGTAATAAGTTTATCAAGTCCATTGTGTTTCCGCTGAAGAAAAATCACAAAATAATGAAGCAGATCCTAACTGCCAGATCATTGCAAATATATCCTTTTTAGCTTTTTCAAAATATGGAAGTGAACCCCTTACAGCTCTAAGAAATTTAAATCCTTGATCATGATGAATCATGTTATCTAATACACCCGGTTGTTTTAGTTGACCGGCAGTGATTGTGTCACTATTTCGTTGATTTTCTCAGTGCAACTTGTAATTGCCCAAACAAAATCTTCATTTCCAATTTCTTTGTTTCAAAGAAAACATTTTCCACACACATTGCAGCCCTTCGGTCAGACCTCCTTAATTCAGATTTACAAATTTCACTATAATGGACTTTGGTTAGTCTATTGTCTGGTCGCTTCTGTCCTAGAAATATACCCGGATATGCTAATTTCTCTGAGTATTTATCTCTAAATATACTCATAGGCCTATTTCCCTCACCAGGTGCAACATTTAAAATATGCTGACGTTCATTATCAGTGACAAAATCTGGAGATGTTAACATAGTGTCAGTGATTCCAGCAGGTATTTCTGCCTCGTCCTCACTCCAGTGTTCATCATCATCATCACATGCAGATGATTGCTGGGTTTTACATTCTGTATCACAATTCAAGCTTTCTGCATTACAGTCCAGAACATTTTCTGAACCCTCTGAAGTTTGATCATTGTCACTATCATCAAATACCATTTGAGTATTTGAATTATCTTCAAGCCAAGTGTCATTGAAAGTTATACCTTCATCTTTATAAAGATTAGCATTATTCACAAGCCATTTGGCAGCTTCTGCTACTTTATTTGGTCTGACGTTTAGTCATAAAGCAGAACTTTTGTATTGCAATCTTCTCTTTAGGTTAACTTTGATTGTGCTGGACTCATTTGGAGATCTTGGCAACATGTTAACAGTATTAACAACATCTGCTGGAACATTAACAATGTTTCCATTGATTTTTAGTTGTCTGCAACAACTAGGATCGTGCATTAATTTTTGAAATGCAAGTCTTGAAGCAAGGAATCTACATTCTAATTCATTTAGATTGAAAATGAAGGTTTTTCTGGAAACTGCAGCCCATTTACGGCAGCACAAGGAGGCACCTTGTTTTTTAAATACTTATTACAGGTTTTACACAACCACTCCATTTTATTAACGCTTTTTAGTGTGAAGTTTCACTTCACACTATTGTGATGGCTGGCGAATTCACACGAATCAGTCAGTCAGTCAGTCAAACAGTCAGTCAGTCATAGAGTAAACTTTCCGGGGGGTGTATACGATTTATGTTCGTAGTGATTTATTGTACTTAGTACTTTGAAGGTTATTTAGGCAATTTCAGTTAACTTATTTACATATTCTGTTATCCTTTTGCCAAGTTCACAAAAATTTTGAGGAATCACTTTCGTTATTGTAATTTTTTGTAAATTTTAGAACATTCGCTTCTCATGTTGTGTAAAGGATCTTTACCCCGGAACACCCGATTTTTTCTTTAGTAGCGCAAATGCGCATGCGCTATCAAGCCGTAGATCACGATGGCGTGACGATATGCTAGGAAGGGGTGACAGTGTTGTTTTCAGATGTATAAAGATTTCAGACGTGAATATTGAGTAAATCCTTGAAAATCTACGCAATATATAAATTGATCTTATGCATTACAGGGCGTTCAATCAAGTGCCGATAATATTTAGACGGTATATTCATTATACAGAGCTAGGAAGGAGCTAGACCGCCTAGACAGTGCAGTCAAGCGTGTAAACATTTCAGACGTAAATATTGAGTTGAATATCTTGATTCTTAGGCATTCATTTGAGTGCCGATATTATTTTCACGGTATTCTCATTATACAGAGGTACAGTACGTAGGCAGAAGCGAGACAGTGTTGTTTTCAAGTATATAAAGATTTCAGACGTGAATATTGAGTAAATCTTTGAAAATCTACACAATATATAAATTGATCTTATGCATTACGGGCGTTCAATTTAATAAGTGCCGATAATATTTAGGCGGTATATTCATTATACAGAGCTAGGAAGGAGCTAGACCGCCTAGACAGTGCAGTTAAGTGTATAAACATTTCAGACGTAAATATTGAGTCGAAAATCTTGCTTCTAGGCATTCAATTGAGTGCCGATATTATTTTTTCACGGCATACTCATTATACAGAGGTACAGTACGTGCAGGCAGAAGCGAGACAGTGTTGTTTTCAAGTATATAAACATTTCAGACATGAATATTGAAAAAATCTTTGAGATTCTACGCAATAATAGTAATACAATATATAAATTGATGTTATGCATTACCG